CACTGGCGAACCAGTGATGTAGAGCCAGGCGTTTTCTTGTTGAACTGTACATTGGTGAAGAATGGGACGCATGCGATTTTTTTGCAGAGTGATTCTCGTGAAGGTGATTTGAAACGCTACAGTGGTGTAGGTAGTTTTTAGGGATGAAAAGCTTATAATCTGGCATATGGACACTGGGAAATCATTGCTTTAATTATCACTTCATTATATAAACCAGAACTTTGGTGTGTCGGTTTGTCGGTGTGTGTGTGTGTGTGCGTGTGTCGTTCTGTCCGTCCGGACCGACCGCTCACAAAACCAGGGAGTACGAAGGGCAACACTTCGTGATGTTGATGTCATGATCATGATAACACCCACAGCGGCTATATAAACACCGATCGAGCACACTCAGTCTCATTCTACATGGTGCTGCCGTGGCAGCCGGATGAGCGGGGGGAGAGGGAAGGGGGCAAGAAAGGGGAGGCTGGAAGGGAGGGAGGGGAGAGAGAGGGAGGGAAGGGGGAGAGGAGAAAGAGAAAGGGAGAGAACATGGCGCTGTTATGCGCCGGAGAGAAGGGGTATAAGGTGGTATAACACGCTATTCCGTGGGTTCTCCTTCAGTGGCGCGCAACAGCGGGCGGAGCAAAACTGGTTAACAAAAAGCAGCTGACGGAACCACAAAGAAAGTCGTCGGGAGCCACGGACTTTTCTATGCAAGGAAACGAACAAATTGTCTCTAGAAGAGGACATCGGAGTGTCCTAATAATAACAATACTACCAAAAAAAAACAAGAAAGTAGCTTCAATACAAAACGCAGGAAACTTCTTGATAGGCTTGACACGATTATTCAACTTTCGTAAGAAGCTTGATTGCAGCACAGCAGCCGAAAGTACGTTTCTGTAGAGCAATGCAAAAGCTGGGCCGGTTGGCATTCTGTACACCCATCGCCACGAGCATTTTTCATGTCCTTCACGCAAGATGCGCTCCCTTTTTCTTTCAAAAAATAAGCTTCGCTTAGAATCAGCTGTTCTAGAGTATTTTGAAGGGTAATCTGCAACTTAATGAAGTTTCAATCATTTTGAAGTGTTCTTACTAGTGATATTTGTTTCTCTATAAAACACGAAACATGATCTCATATTGGCATGCAAAACAGTAACAAGAAAGTAACCATACCAACCATAAGAAAGTAACCAAAGCCCACCATATGATGCGCGCGAATGCGTGCGGAGCTAAACTGGTATAATATAACAAGAAAGTTGTTTTGGTAATCCAGTCTCTATTACTATATGTATACTGTTAAACGCTACTTGTCTATATGTGTCATAAAATTCATAACATGCGTCATAACATCGGGAATATGACAAGCAAAAGTGATAATACATAATCAAAAGTCGGAGGGGAGGCGGGATGGTGATACAAAGCGATGGCAGCTGATAAAACTGCTAACAAGGATCAGCATGCCAGTGCCACCAATTTGTCGTGCCCGTCGCGGCGTTAGTATAACGTTGGATATAGCATGTACGGAGGGGTGGGACGGAGCATATTAGTGAGTGATGGGAACTTGTAAAAAAAATTATAATAACTAATATGAGGAGGATTACGAGGCAGAGGCAGCTGCAAAAATTCTCAGTGGAAAAATGAATTGTTCATTATCTTCGAAGATTTCTAGATTCAGTTGCGGAACGGAGTCTTCAGAACAGGACGCTGGAGAGCGCAACTCCACCGTGAGTTCAATAATTGTTTTAAACCGCAGAATGATAATATACCTATCTTTAGGAAATTCATATCAGGCGTCGACCATGCAGCTATGTATTCGATGTAAGGGCGGAACTTGGTTCTTACATTGGACCTAGCACAAATTTGACCGTATACGCCTCAGAGCTAGGTTGGCTATGGATTCTTCGAAGATGTGGAATAATTTTGACTGTAAATAATGCAGGATGTTCCATAAATATTGCACCAAATTTTGAGCTCAAATCCTGTAGGTGTTTATAGTTTTTCTTCCGAGACTTGGCAGACCTTTCAATCCCTCTTGTCAATGACCATGCCAAATTCCACGGCTTACCGTTCGGCCTGCATCTCATGGTGCGCCTAAACTTCAACAGAGTGCCTAACCTCTCACACAGCTAGGTCGGACATCCGGTGATGAGCATCGCGCTTCTTTGGATTTTCAACCGCTCCGCGGCCTACCGTGCACTGAGAAGACCAATAAAAGTAGTCTTTGTTGTGGCCGCCCCACAAGTTCTGACATCTTGGATCTCAGGAAAAGCATGAAGAAGCGACTGCAATACCCGGGTTGGCTCGAGAAAGGTGACCAGAACGCTGGAGTTTCTAAACACAGCCATGTAGAGAGTGGTCAGATAACAACTGCTCACAGTCCATTATAAGTTGCATAAGCACCACTGCTCAATCCAACGGGAGGAGCACAGCAGAGACAAAAAGTTCAAAGAGCTGGTGTCGAGGGCCGAAAATGGCGATTACGCGGGCACCGTTTTCCTCACATGGAGCGGAGCTACAATCTTCAAACTCCGAGGATGCCCGCATGAGGTCTTGAGGAAGTCAGTGAGAGTGAAAGGAATATTCGCCACAAGCAGCAGCCGAACCTTATCATGGTCTGGACGGGGGTCTCAACTACCGGTCGCTCACCATCACTGCCTGTTTACAAAGGAATACAACTTGATACTAGACCGAGCCAAGGGACATTTCGGTGCACCATCTGTTACTGAGGTATCTAGCCACTTTGAAGAGGGGTGATGATCTTTTCAATAGGACCCCGCTTTTGCGTAGGAGGTAGCGCTGTCAAGGCACTCTTTCCGATTTCACATCCTCGAAAGAATGGCTCTCCTATCCTTGATTTCAGCGTGCTGGACCATCCTATGTGGGCTATGTTAGAGGGCAGAGCCTGCACTAAACATGCATCCACATGGATGAGCCGGAGCCTTTTCTCTGCAAAGTTTCGAAGAGAACACCCCAGGATGCCATGCGGGCCACAGTAGAGTTGCGTTCGAAGCAATTGGGAGCCATACTCACAACAACAGGATGTATTGCTAAAATTTTTGTATATCTTCTTGAAGATACATCCATTCGGAAAGAAGCTACAAGTGAAGAAAGGTGGTGCAATATGGGATACCCTGTACGTATATCGCTTTCCAACAGCTTTTTATTCTTTAATCTGCAAGTGCCCTTCTCCCGTTCGAATATCATATGAGAAAACTTCAGCAAAGACGATCAGACAGCAGTGATGATCTTTGTATGCAACTTCTCACTACGATAAGAGTACCATCAAATGACTTCGAAACCATTGAAAAAGTGTTAGCTTGCTGTTTAGGTGTTTTTGAACAGTGGCACAATTTGATTTGATGTTTTTCTTTCACAATCTTACACTCCATAATTACTCTCACATCTATCCTATCGCAGGGGCTTCACTGCTTCAGCATCAATGTTTTTAACATTATTATCCGTTTTCACTAAGGAAGTAAGAAACCCGGAACGAAGTATATCAAATCGCATTCAAAGATCAAAAGATTTGCAGCAGGAGGGCCTCCCAGAGGCCATCTTGGAGGCCGCTTTTAAGGGTCGCACTTCTGAGAAATCACAAGCTCCTCACGTCCTATCAACTTGAACCCGGCACGCTACAGAATTGATCACCACCGTAGTCTAGTACCGACAACACTTATGAAATCTGCCCTCCTACATTAGCAAATATCATTCGCAGCACTGCACTTTTGATTTGATTTCTCTTCTTCTAGGAATTTTCTTGACAGTTCTTTTTTTCTACAAGTCTTATACTTCACTCCTCATATAAGCCATTCAAGGCAATTCTTCGACTTTTTCGGCTCCCATTGAACCGCAGGAAAACCACTGCAGACAACGTTAGAACCTCCACAGAATACAGAAAACCTTCCCGAGAAAGCGCTCTACACCTTGAAAGACTTCTATTGTGAAAAATCGATGGCTAATTGATAGATCATCTCTCCAAGAAATTAGTAGATCAAAATTTGCAGCATTGTGCATCCAATTTTGGCACATCCTGTAGGTATGCTATCAGGCATTACGTAGCAGACACTGTCGACAACTTCACTGTGGGACCAATGACGAAGAGTTTATTTATTTATTTATTTATTTATTGAATGCGCTTGAAAGGCGCGCTACAACGAAAAGCTAGAGCCGCAGGTCATACCACGAACCTTTAGAAAAAGCACCAGCCATAACGGAACTAAGTTTTGAGAAAATTCAGTTTTCCATATGAAAGTTTTAGTGAAAATTTAATATGTAAAGAGCATGTAGACAAATATCTCGACCTGGGCTCGCTGAGATGAAAAAAATTTAGAATTTTCTAAAACGGGCAGAAGAAGAAAAAACTACAAAAAGGAAAACAATGGAAAAGATAGCAAGAATCCTGTCGGACAGGAGGTTTATATTATTGACTCAATCGCTTTGAAAGGCAAAGTTCAGGATAACTGGCGAAAATTAGCTTTTCCCCGTCAAATATGCAGCAGTACGCAAGCGCGGACCATGTGCAGAAGTGACGGGGCGATTTGACAAGGTTTAGGCGCTAGGCGCCTAGGTTGGAGCATTGGCGCCGCCCCAACCCCATTGAGCCCGCCCACTGTTCCACGCGACCTTCCAAACAACACTTGGAACACTAGATGTCAAGCCGTTGTTTGGAAGGTCGTAGGAGGATATTTTGCGGATTTCGACTGCCTCTATGTTGCGGCCATTATCGGGAACGTTGCCATACATTCTAAAGAGAATCAAATTTTTAAAATAGAAACACAAACAGAAAAGCAGAAAATAGAAACACAAACAGAAAAGCAGAAATAAGCAGAAAAATAGGAAAATTAGAAGAAATCGATTTCCACTGCTGATTTTTATGGCCGTGTCGGTTGTTGGCATGGAGCCAGCAGCTGCTGTGAACACGTTCAGACACGTAATCCTCCCAGCCCTGGCTTGTAAGTCACTAACGAAGAGAGGATCATACCCTCAACGTTGGTACTCTGACTGGCCGAAAAGTGGCAGAAATGCTCAGAGAAAGAAACATCGACATCTGCGCATTACAGGAAACAAAATGGTCCGGCGCCAAGACGAAAAGAATTGGTGGATACAGTTTGTATTATAAAGGAGAGCGATCGAAAGTCAATGGTGTCGCCATCGCCGTTTCACAGAGGTTAGAACACACCGTCAAGGATATACAAAGGATTTCTGACCGCATCATTTATGTGGCTATGATCTTCGGCAAGAGAATCACACACTTTGTCTGTGCTTACGCCCCGCAAGCAAGCCTACCCAGTGCCGTCAAAGATCAGTTCTGGGAACAACTTGCCGATGTAACTTCCACGCTTCCAGCCGACGGAAACCTGTACATCATGGGAGATCTCAACGGGCATATCGGCACTGATAACGATCAGTACGAGGACACACAAGGACGATTTGCATATGGTGTAAAGAACGAAGATGGAACACGAATTTTAGAATATGCAAAGTCGATGGATTTAGTCGTTGCCAACTCACTCTTCCAAAAGAAGGAATCACACCTCATCACATATTACGGTGGAGAGCACAAGGCACAGATTGACTACATCCTGGCAAAAAGGAATCATCGAAGCGATGTCCTCGACTGTAAAGTAATCCCATCGATAAGCGTTAGCAGCCAACATCGTCCCGTTGTCGCCACGATCAGAATGCCAAGAGACTTACCTGCCTTCATGCAGCCAAGAATCAGTAAAAAGCTTCTGAGGTGGAACAAGATCAAAGACCTTGGACGAACTGAAAGAAATTACCTATCGATGAAGATTCAGCAAGCCAGGTCTGATGACATTGAGCATGACTGGAAACGACTCGTTCGAGAAATCCGAAACAATGCGAGTAAAATCGGCTATAAGAAGGAAATAGGACGTGCACCGGATCGGTCTGCTTGGTTTTGGAACAACGATGTAGCAGTTTCGATTGAAACTAAGAAGGCGTATAAAACTTGGCACCTCAATCCTACAGATGAGAATAGAGTAAAATATTGTGAAGCCAAGCGGGAAGCCAAACGGACAATAAGTAAAGCGATAAAAGAAAAAACGGATGTGCTCATTGCGGGACTTAACACCAATGAAGGCGAAAAGCAGATTTACAGTCTTGCCAAGAGACGCTTCAGAGCAACACAAGACTTCACTACGACTACAACGTTCATCAAGGATAGTGATGGAGTCCTCCTGTACGATTTTAACAAAATCAAAAATCGCTGGCAAGAATATTTCCAAGAGATCTGTAACGTAGAGTTTCCGCATCCACCGCCTCCAAAAGAGCCGCAGATCCACGGACCCATCCCACGAATAAGTGAGAATGAAGTCAAAGAAGCCGTCAAAAAGATGAAGAACATGAAAGCCACTGGGCCAGACGACATTCCTGTAGAGGTCTGGAGACAATTTGGAGGCTATTCCTTTTTGACGGAACTCTTCAACAACTGTATAGAAAAAGGAGTAATTCCGAAAGATCAAAAAGCATCACAGTGCCCATTTATAAGAAGAAAGGAGACATTGCTAATTGCTCCAGTTACCGTCCTATTGTCTAATGTGTCACACTTAAGGACTTTGCCCGACGGATGATGGAGAAAGCAAAGGAATAGAATAAGCCGCTCCACATGGCCTTTTTAGACCTGGAGAAGGCCTTCGACAGAGTGCCACGACAACTCATTTGGGAAGCCCTCAGATATCAACAAGTACCTGAAGCACTTGTCAAAGCTGTACAGCTGACCTACCTCAACTCCACCACTGCCGTCCGCACACCAGTAGGAGACACCCCACAGTTTCCGGTAACCGTTGGAGTCCATCAAGGATCAGCCCTTTCACCACTACTTTTCATCCTTTGCATGGACTACGCCACGAGAAACATCCGGAAGGAGCCGCCTCTGACACTGGGCTACGCTGACGATGTGCTGCTTATGGATCGATCAAAGAGAAAGTTAGAAAAACGTGTCAACCGCTGGAAGAAACAACTCGATGATCACGGACTCAAGCTCAACATTAACAAGACGGAATACATGAGCACGGTGGTCACAGAATCGTCAATTGTTGTAGCTGGAACTCCCCTACCAAAGACGGCTAAATTCTCATACCTCGGATCCATGCTCTCTGCGGACACTGACACGAAAGCCGACACGACTGCCAGAATCAATGCAGCATGGAACAAATGGCGAACGGTCACCTGTATCCTTTGTGACAAGAAAATGCCAATACGCCTAAAGTCCAAAATATACACCTCAGTCGTGAGGCCGGTAGCTGTTTATGGAGCAGAAACGAAACAGATGACGGCTGACGAAACAAGAGCCTATGGATCCATGGAGATGAAAATGTTGCGATGGTGCCTGGGACACACGCGTCTAGACCGCATTCGGAATGAACACATACGAGACAAAATCAAAGTTCAACCTATCGCCAACACCCTTGCTGCCTCACGCCTCCGCTGGTACGGTCATGTCCTACGAAGACCCCCTGATGCTGTGTCCAAGTCGGCAGACAACATAGTGTTCGTCGGTACACGTCCAAGAGGCCGACCCAGAAAGCGATGGCTAGACAACCTGAAATACGACATGAATGCTGCGGACCTGTCTGCAGCCGATGCATGGAACCGGGATCGCTGGAAAACATTGGTGGAAAAAGCGTACCCGACAAGAGTTGGACAACAACGCTAAGAAGAAGAAGAAGGGATCATCATTTTGGACCTTTTCGGGGATTGCTCCTGGTTTTTTTTATTGAGGTCTGATTCAGTTCTCACCCAGGGCGTCATATTTGTACAGAACCTTTGAAAAAGCCACTATACCACTTTAGACCTATTGGACCGGGCTGCATTCCCGCTGCACGGAAAAGGCATTCAAGCTGAATCACAGTACCACGATCAGTATGCTTGCGAGGCAACAAAAGGGAGCAAGGATTTATCGAACAGCCTCGACTTAATTGAACACTATTTAGGTTTTCCATACGAAACCATTGATTTCCTCCACATTCACAAACAGATTCCTAATTTTCGACGCGAAAATTGTACCTATACACAATACAACCTCTTTGCTCACGGCACTACTGATTGCACTAACTATTTGGTGCAGCAATCCTTCTGCCATCCAAGCAAAGTGACAGCTTTCTATCCAGCCTTCGTTGCTGCAGCCGTAAGGACATCCGCACGAACTATCGCGTCGCGCCAGCCCGAAAACGTCCGAAGCAGCGCTGGCCTGACACGCTGCATGAGAGCCCTAAATTAGTTAGCCTCTAGCCTTCATTCAACAAAGCACTGAACTGGGAAGAGTGTAAACATACCGGAAAAGCGTAGGCTCGATGTCGAAAAAGGAGTCATATATCATTAGTTCTCTGACGACTGCAGTAAATCTTCACAAGTTATTCTTTTCTCAAGGTAGCTTTACTGTCAAGAAACTGTGCAGAATTTTGAAAAAATATTCAATCTAGAAGAAAAGTGCTCTAGGCAAAATTGAGATAGGAAAATCATTCCTGTGAAAAGAACCTTCTGGAGGTGCTAAAAAACTCAGCTGTCTGCTTGTTATGGAAATGCTATATCCAACAAATGACATTATGATTATGAACTGCACTGTATATTGAATCTTAGCTTCTCGGCTGTGGTTCCCGAAAGTAATCGATAAATGAGCTCAGCTGTGACTATAAGATCAAGCAACTGTCATTTCCTGGAATCTCAACATATTCACTGAAACGTTTAGCTCCGGAACGGGCACCAACGGAAGTAAGATCAACAGTGATAGGCGAGAACTATTTCATAGAATTCAAGCCATTACCTGCAGAAGAGATCCAAATGTTTGGGGAAGACAAAGGATGCAAGGTAAAGGAGCTTTATTTCTTTTGGAGCTTTTCTATGATGATTATATTTTTTCTATGATGATTATATTTTTGATATAAAATATATTTTTTCTATGAACCTCCAAAAAGCTTCTACCAAAAAAAACTGTTTAAACGAATTAAATTATCGGAGGAACTGCGTGGAGCACTTCCACATTCTATTGCTCCAGGCTTGCGCGAACTTATTGGAAGACATATCTATTTGCACCAGTATTAGGCAGACATCAGCACTAGATCATTTTGTGGAGCCAGTTCTCACATCGATTCTCTGTAGGTCGTTCCTAACGACCGTTTCTGCATGAAACTTCGCTGTACATTCCAATGGAGGAGGACGATTTCGAGAAAAACCAATAATTGCGATTCTATGACCATACTTGCAATTTGTGAAAGTACGTCGCTTATTCGGTAGATCTGGCGATTCACGCTTTTTCATGCGAAGGTCAAATGCTTCAGGGGTGCGCGTGAAGCATTTGTGGCCGTGGCCTAACTCCTATCTGTATTAACAGGTTTATGAGGCCCAGTTTTTATTGGGAACAATGGAATCTCTGAAAAACTGCTCCAGCAATAGCTCTCCAGATCTACCGCGTCAGTCAGCTAGATCCGGTTAGCATACACGTTCCAAATTAAGAATGACCATCTCGGAAAGTGCAGACAACCTAGAATCAAGCTACAGCGTTTATGTTAGGTTGGACCATAAGTCTTGCAATCAACTGGCTGAATTTGGTCGTAATATTTTTATTATCCATTTTGTTCCAATCATGAGCATGATACACACCTTCAATATATACAATCTACTGCCAACGCACTATAAGCTGCTCGATGCCGTTCTTAACCCTTTACAAAGCGGATTTGCACGTAGCTTGCTCGTGAGGACCACGCCTCTTTTTGGCGCGCCCAACTCTCGCTCACAATTGGGCAAAATTGTCCCTCAAAGCAGTTTTTCTATAGAATTTTTGACTTTAGCAGTATACCAGATATAACTGCAGTTCTAGGCTTTCATACTGTGTATTGTTTTTAAGAAAATTCCAAATTTGGAAAGAGAACTCGGGTTTCAATAGGAAGGAGGGCAAAGCCTCTGAATGTTTGAGTGTTCAAGAGAATCACTCCAATATAAATCACAACTTTGGTGTGTCGGTTTGTCGGTGTGTGTGTCGTTCTGTCCGTCCGGACCAACCGCTAACAAAACCAGGGAGTTCGAAGGGCAACACTTCGATGTTGATGTCATGATCATGATAACACCCACAGCGGCTATATAAACACCGATCGAGCACACTCAGTCTCATTCTACATGGTGCTGCCGTGGCAGCTGGAGGGGTGAGGTAGAAGGGAGGAGCAGAAAGGGGAGGGCAGAAGGGGGAGGAGGGGGAGGCCGAGAGGGGAGCGTTTGGGGGCACCTGGGGAATATTTTGCCGTTAAACATTCATCAACAACGGCATTCTGTCCGACGAAAAATTTGATGTGCAAAGTGACTTTTTCTTTTCTTTCCATAATATATTTGTATCCACCAACCACGTCTACCTAGCCTAAGTTCAGGCTGTGGTGTGCAAGAAACGTCACGTCTCTACGGAATGTGTGAATAAAACTGTTCCAGCTCGAGCAAATGAAGTAAAATATGAACACCTCGAGGATTATAGTGAGTCCCTATCTATAACGAGTCAGTAATTTCACGCTACCTCTCAACACGTTGGTGACAGCGCGAGGAGCATTGCCAACGTGTTAAAGGAAGCGATCACGCTGGCTTCCACGCTGGATTTGCTACCCTCGCGTTATCAATCGATAAGGTGTGAGGCAGTAATTGTTGGACGAGTGTAAGCCCATGGAAGATATGATACGATGAGATAAGAAGGTGCGGCTGCTTGATAAGAGGTGCACTCCAGAATGAAAACGGGACGATAACGATAACGGTATCATATCTAGCACGCTCTTATCGCACCCCTTTCCACATCGATAAGTCTTGGTTTTTGCTGAACGGAAGTGGATTTCGGCGCCTTATCACTCCGTTGATAAGGCGCCACTGCCACTGAAACTTCACGTGTTCTAACATTGGGCAGGACCCCTATCCACTCCAGTACACAGCTTTCCTTATCGTCCCTATGAGAATTATCGTGACCACTTCCTTCAAGAGCTAGCGCTTCGTATTCTGTGCACGCGCGGATCCGCACGCAGCGCATGCGTCTAGCTCCCATACCATTTATTTGTTTCCGAAAACGCAGCGTTTCTTTTTTCGTGTTTATTCTATGGACATCGTGCCTACTGTGGTCAAATATGGTTTTTGCAAATATGCAATCCTCCTTTTTGCCCCTTTTCAAACTTCGCCTGTTCTCTGCCTCAACTAAAAGTTTCGACCTTGCAAAATTGGAGTGATCTTCAGCAATGTTGCCTACATAATCTATTTAGCAAGGTGTACTCCACGTGGTTTTGCCGATCCATATTTCTTCGCTTTTCGAGTAGAGTACGAGTAGACGCAGATATGCGACGCGAACTGTGGTTGGGGGCAACTTTGCGGCAGCTGTTTGCGATTGCCGTGACTGTTTGAACGAGGTTCTGGTAGTCAGTGTTGATGTCATCCACCATTTCATACAGCTCTTCGTTTGCAAGCCTCGCGACCGCATCTTCGTCCATCACAGTGGGGCAGGGCCGCCTAGAGCGTATGCGCATCAGGCGCATTAAAGCGCGGTCGAGGTGGAATCGCCCTCGCAGCAAACGATGGTCGCTCCCCGTATTGAAGGGAAGGGACAACTGCAATATCGCCACTATTGTTCAATTGCACTTTCGTGGTAGTGCTGTCCATTCGAAGACGAGTATACCTTTTCCGTAGCACCCTGAAGAATTGACTATTGCCGTGGTAGAGGTGATGCGACTCACAAGAACTCGCCAATCTTTCTGCAGGTTCCTCTTCAGCGTTCCGATAAAGACCTCGCCGACCTTTCGGGATCCAATTCGAGCGTTGAAGTCTCCCATCACAACGACGTAGCCACGTTGGCTGCTCACGAGCTCCTCGAGTTGTTCATAGAAGATGTCATGCTGCTCTTCATCGCTGTCTGCTGTAGGCGCGTAAGCCTGTATGATGGTAACTTGCGAATCTTTCGAAAGGCACGCGGTCAATGTGGCGAGTCGGTGCCCATGAAACGTTACGCTCCGTACATGCTTGGAGAAGATCGGTGACACAATGAAGCCAACACCTCCTGATGTTGAATCGATCTTGCGAGCTCCTAAGAACACCCATGTTCCGTCCGTCCAGGTAACGATAGAGGCTCTTTCCGCTTCGTCTCGCTCAAGCCAATTACATGGTACTTGATCCGTTGAGCTTCATCAATGAGTGCCGAAAGCTGAGCGGCCGAGCTGACACTTCGACAGTTGTAGGTGCAGGCGATCAGCTGGCTCGCTCTTGTCCGTCTCCTTTGGTAGCCTACGGCCCTGAGATTTCTTCGCCTTTGGCTGTTTGCTGATCCAGCGCTACCTGACTGGGCAGGGACAGCCTGCAGGGGACTAAGGCGGGAGTAAGAAGTGGTCGTGGTATTTTCGTCCCACGGGATAGCCTTACCAGGGCGTTCCCGTTGCTCAAGGAGAGCGCCGTCCCACCAAGGGCTTGGGCACTTTGGGTTCTTTAGTCACGGGAATCGGTATGGGGTTTCGGCGCAGCCCTATCCTGAAGGATATTCCGATCCCGCCTCAAGCTCACACCACTACAAACAAGGTAGAACATGTACAAGATTTGAGCGGTAACTGTGTAGAATCCAGTTACCATTTCAAGATGTTTTGTAAAATTCTTCGGAGGATATGCAGACCGTACCCAGACGATTTTATTCATACTGACCTCATCGTTACGGGTGATCCTCTTTTTGAGCGTCTTCTTAATTTTTTAGTCGGCCTTCTTTGGGACTGGTAGACAGTGTTCCCGCTCCCCTTATTGCACACAATTCTTCTCACTTCTATCGTTGATTTGCATGCTTTTTGCGATCTCCGCGGCGTAACATCCTTCGTCCAGGAGATGTGTGATGGTAGCGTGAAGAGGAGACGGACGCATTTCTTAGGGGTTTTTATAACGGCAGTCGTGATAATATAGCAGTAGTGCACGACTGGCATGCTTCATCCAGAGCATATACTTCACAGTTGAAACAGGGATTTACAGGTCAGCAGCAGACGTGTGAGTTGGCGGACAACACTTTGCAGCCACCCCGTATACCGACCAATTCACCGAGGTTACAGATTACTGGACGCCATTCCTACTTTTTCTCACACCGTTACCTTGACTCTTTTGAAGAAAAAACTCGCTCTGCCTATTCCGGAATGTCATATTTCCACCTTATACCTTCCCGTTGATTTATTTTTGTCCCACGAGTCACGAGTATTATTCATTTCAATTTCACGATAAAGTCAGAGCTGAGGAAGGGAAAGACAGGCGGACTCCTAAGGGTGCGGACCGAAACGCAACTCGCAGCGAAGAACGTGCCTTTGCCGACCTAGCAAAGTTACCTTCGCAGCGCTATCGACGCCTGACCCCCACCGACTGGTGGACCGCTCGTCACAGGTCACTAGCAGTAGCAGAGAACATAAATGTTAAAGAGTGCAGCACCGGTGAGAGTCGCATCGATGCGGAAATAAATGGGCAAGGAAGGGCTTCCCTTCTCGAGCTTCGGACGTCTTCCCATTCTTCGTCCCGCCACCTTAGACCATCTCTTTTTCGATTCTATGGGCTGCCTACTAATCGCGAACTTTGCCTCCGACGCTTTGTAGACCCCACCACTTCTAAACAACTTGCAAGATATTCTCAAAAGCGCCCTGTCGCGCCTTTTTTATCATTGAAATTAACCACAAGAATAAGCCAATGAGAATAAATTTTGCCTAAATAGGTACCTATTTCGCAACTGTCGAATGTTCGACTGGAGCTGGAGCAGGTCCGATGAGCCCATGGATATTACTGCCAATCAAGGGAAGTGCGGTAAGGAGTAAGCTTCTTGCAAGCATTACTGGTTGATTGTGATATTTTGGTCCACTTCTCAGCATCAGCTTGTTCTGTTTCCATATATGGGATTTCATATGTAAATACTTGTATGGTGCGCCAGGTGGCTTTTACACTACATCGAGGCGTGTGAGAGAAGCAGTGCAAAGAAGAGTTTATTGAGCAAACAAAACAACAAATATAATCAATTAGAATATTTGTGCAAGACCATGACCCGGAGGCGGATCGTGTAGAGTGAACATGATGGCGACTTGAGAACGTAGTTCTAGAGCAGGACACGAGCTTATCCTTTCGCTAAGCCACACAAGCTTTCGCTTCTGACACTAACGTTTCCATCTATAGCTAGTTGTGCTTCTCACCCCGAATCACTTAGACTCTCCTCTTACGCCCCTAGGCAGTCACTGCCAGACCACATAGGCTCCCCTCAATTGGCCGCTCAGGCAATCTTTTTGAAGCTTCTGAGGCTTTCCCTATGAAACCTCGGCCTTCTCTCTTACGGGTCACAATAGCGTACACCGAAAAACGCCACTAACAAGTAACGCACCTGAAACTGGGGCCCCGGAACAATGAAACATCGGGACACTGTCTTGGCGGCCGGACTCCTTTTGCTGGCACTCCGGCGCAAAGCGTTTCCCTCCGACAAAGGTGGCCTCCCACGGCTCCTCCGCAAACAATCCCTACCGTCCCTGTCAATAAAAGTGCACATACAAGCTCATATACAATTAATATCTTGAGTCGGCATGTCTTTCTGACATACTTATTGGAATGCGTTTCATGATTATTATACAAGGTCACCCCCAAGTGCTGCTTCCCTGGAATGAGCAGCGAATTAAAAAAATTTTCTAGTATCACCAGCTGCTTTCTCACCACGCGTAACCCCTGAGGCGAAGCTTTGGCAAGAGCAATTTTTCTTCTAACATTTTTATAGTTGTTTTATGTTTTTGCGCTGCTTCGTAATCATGACGTCATCCTTAGAAAATAAATTTTACTATGAGAATCAACAGATCTGGTTGTGAAACCGAATATTTGTCACAAACACTTCCAGAGAGTGAATTTCTGAAATGTCTTGTACTCGTATTTTAAAGAAAAGGCCAAATTGTACATTCCCTGGTGCTCGGCTCGTTTCGTGACTCATCGCGTAGTTTGGGAAGGTCTCCTCTCTATTCATGGTAATTGAAGAACTCCTATGTGTTTAGATATTCTAAAATCTCTGTACATTCACAAAAGATCACTACAAATGATTGAAGAAGAGTTAAAGAGGAGTCTCCAGTCGGCTGTCCCTCATTGGGACGACGATAAGGAATAATACGTACTGACGTGGATGGGTACTGCTCAGTGTTGCAGCCAGTTAACTTTCAGTGGCAGTGGCGCCTTATCAACGACGTGATGATGCGGCCAAACCCTTTCCTGGGTTGCGAAAACAAAGGTGTCGATGAGGAAGTGGTTGTAGCAGCAGCGTGCTGTTTATGACGCGCTGTCGTGATCGCCCGAATTTCATTATCACAGTGTCGTTCATATCTATGGGCTGCGATTTAGAACGTCTACCACCTAGTCTAACTTGGTTCAGTACAAGTGTGCCTGGCAAGCCGATTTCGGAATACGGTAGGAACCTTGGATCAGTAACAGGGGCAGGGGTCAGCCAACGTGCGAGAGTTCAGGCAGAAATATTATGAAGGAAGCGAAGAAAGCAGTAATGCTGTGAGAGTGGGCTAAGCGCGAATGCCCACAAAACAATAAGAGAACGAATGAGCCACATCCAAAAAAACCACCCCAAAGCTCATCGGTGAGAAAATACATGATTTGGCTCGAAATACATCTAGGTAAAGCACTCAGTGAAATAGATAGAAGAAAAAGAAACTGCTGATGGGAATTCAGCACAAGTACATGCACAGGAAATCATTAACGGACCCAATAGGTACTACTGAGAAAGCGTCGTTGTGTGGAGGCTGACTCCGCTGTCATCTAAAAACGCGATATCCAATAGAAAATTCGGAAAACACGCGCCAGATCCGATCCTATTTCTCAGAAACAAAAAAGTAGAAGCCACATGGTAAAAAATAAGGTGAACAGATCCGTGCAGGTATGAGCGCCGTTTAGTGTCTTGGCATTATGCAAGCATCCTTACTCCTGCAACAATTGCAATCTCACACCCTATCCGATTATAACGCGTGGATTCCTCGTGAAAGCTAGCATGATTGCGTCATTTAAGTCTTATTCGGCAAAGCCGATCAGAGGAAACAAACACTGTGGTATCGAGGAGGCGCAGTGTCACATTTGCCATGTTGACCCTCTAGTGAGAAGAAAAAAAACACTGTGGGATTGGGGTACTTTAAGAGGAGAGTCAACCTTGCATCTGCGTCTCCTCAATTGCCCGTTCATTTTCGACCATGAAGGAGTGGCGACAAAGAAGATAGTTGTTTGGACGTTGATCCTGGTAGCCACCATCAGGCCGACAATCATAGTGGCTTGACAGACGAGACTGATCGCAGAGGCCTGTTAGAAGATAGGAAAGGGAAATGATCTTGCAAATGAAAAGTCAACAGCAAACGATCAAGTCACCATTTGAACTAGTGGGCGTAACGCTTTCGGGTTGAGTGCTTCGGAAGTCCTGCTCAGCAACCATAGCACCTGTCGCCGTGAAAGCGCCACACATCGCTTCCTTGGTAGCCAAGCTCCGTGAACGCATATACTCCACCAATGCAGCCCTTCCTTATCATAATCGCGTAAAGATGGGATTTTTGATACTCATGTTGGTATGGGGTCATTTTCTTTGCGTTGAGGAGCGCTTTAAACCTGTTAGCAGACCTCGACTTTTACCTGAGCTAATCACAACAAGTTACCCTGACTTAGGGGGAGGAGTTACTACTGTCCCTGTTCTCTGTCTTGAACGTGAACCGTAGACATCTTCGTCGAGTATCATGCGGATAAGGGTTTAGAAATTGTAGGAGCCTGAAGCATGAAAGAGAATTGTGGGGTCTGTAGTGCAGTAATCTGTGTTGGTGAATAAAGAAGGTACGTAGCTCGCTCAAATTTAAATCGAAATTGATTGAAAACTGAAAGTTCTTCCTTTACGATCACCTTCAACGCACTTACGTTGCAGCTAACGCGGGAGGTATTTCAAGGGGCTTGCGCTCCCTCAGAAGCACGATATGGAGGGATGAACATGGAGTACAGAACTGTGGTCCATTTCCGCTAAATGGCCTCTGAATGCCAAAAAAGGAATAATTTTGTTGGAAACTGCAGTTTTTACACATTCACCGTGGTGTGTTTCATTCATGGCGTGGACTGCTTGCATAATGAAGGGTCTTCGCAAGCTGTGTATCGAAAACAACGTGAAGTTTGGTCAAAATTGGAAAGTTGTCGTGGTGATGTTAATGCCATGCTACGTATGTAGAAGTTCCACAAGTGCATTTTGCCTATGAGCTGCCGTCAGCGTCCGTGGTGTAGTGGTTAGCACGGTTGGCACTATTAGGCGGGTTTGATGGCTGTATCCACGAGGCGCCGCACTTTTTGCATTTTTGTTGGCACTTCCAGATTGGCTTCAAATCGCATTAGTGCCAAAATGGATGTCTTATTCAAGATCAGAACCATTAATAACCCAGTGAGGTAAGTTTCCACCGATAATGAGCAAAAAGTTGTAACGTCGTAATAGAGCCTGGCGCCAGCTACAACAAGCAGTTCCATATTTGTGACCAGAGCACTTGATCATAACTTCGAAATTTTGCACCAAACATAAGTAACTCTTCAAGTATTCTCAGTCGCTAGTAGACGAGCTCGGCGCGGAAAATTAGAAGAAAACTACTGCAGTGTACGTGCCCCTCACCTGGGTGGGTGTCCGCTCTCCATTCAAACCTTTCTCACCCCTGGACGGGGATCGGAGGTCATTTCCAAGAAGTTCGCCAGCTTGATTACTCATGGAGCAATTTTTCGAAGTTGGATAAAAAACTCGATTTTCTGGAGCTCCAACTGCAAGAGTTATCAGGTGCCCTGATTACGAATGACATTCGTTTTAGCTCCGACATCATTTCGGACCCCTATGACGCTGTTCGACGGCACGTTGGTGAAGTTTTTGCGTCACAACTTTCTCTCACCAGTTTTCGGTATACGCCCACTTGTAAGGGTTTTTGTAAGCCTAATTATAATTATGACATCAATTCCTGGTGTTGACGTATTTGGTGCCAATTTTGTGCGTCAAATCACAATGCAAAAATTTTGTCACCGCGGAGGAATCGAACCAAGGACCACTTTCCCACTCCTTTTTTGGCATTCAGAGGGCCATTTAG